TCACCAGTGACTGTGGGCATTTGTGCACATTTGTGCTGTAAAACCATAGGAGGGTTTTAAGGGGACAAGTTCTTGTGTTAGGAAATTTGTGCTGTAAAACCAAAGGAGGGTTGATACCATCAAGGAGCCTATCCAGCACCGTTAGTGGCCACATGGCGGTGTCGACTTTACTTAGGGGTAAACTTTACATAGGGCTCTTGAACTTTCTTTTTGTTTGGGAGAAAAGACCCCCAAAATGGAACCAGTGAAGCGTACCCAAATTCCTGACAGAGTGGCTGGCCTTTTATCCAGGCTGAATACTCACCAGGGGCACACCTTCCCGACAATTTTTTTTTTTTAAGTCAGTTTTGAGTTGTTTGGCCAAACAACCTGATTGTATCAGTGCCTCAAGTTTGTAAAACTGAAAGGAAACAAGACCTGTACCTGTGACTGAAATTTCACGATACCAGAATGGTGGAAGATAGACGTTGGGCTAATGCATAACAACTTCACTTGTCCTAAAAAGAACAGGTTTTAACCGGAAAAAAAGCAGCAATTATTCAGGTCAAGAAAGCAGCAGCTTACCCAGGTTTAATTTGCCATTTGATACGGGGAGGATTTTTCACAATCAAATCACATTTTTTTTTTTTGTCAAGAAACACTTTTGAAATTGTGAACTGAATACCACAGGGGATCCTGGAATGGATCGGTGAATGGCCAAAGAAAAAAAAAAAAAATTGGGACACTGCATAATGCATACCTTTAGATCAACCGAGTATGAACTCGATCAATACATCTACCTAACTTTAGCATATTTGAAGGATGGATAAATACACGTACATGTACAAGCAAAGCTGGTCTGCATGCCTATTTGAGCGATTCCATAGAGAACTTGACAAGGCTACAAAATAAAGGAAGATTGTTAAATCAACAAGCACCATGGTTACAAATGTGGTGTCACATCTGAGTTGTAAATGTCGAAAATGATCAAAAAGAAAGAATGCGGTGAGACGAGTGTATTTTCCTCTATCTTGAAGAGACATGTTCTGGCTAAAGTCGTCGATTTGTAGCAGTTAGTTTGGCTCCTTGTTTTAGCCTGCAAAAGGCAGCACTTCATGCACACTTCTGTTATCAAGTCATAGAGAATGTTCCACATTCTCTGCGGAAAGAGCTTCTGCTTGGTTACAAGTTATATCTTTCTAACATGTGCCAACAAACAGTCATGTAACTATCCACAACATGACCAACCGAGATCGTGTGGCGATGCCTGGAAACCTTGCGAGAAATCGCGCCATGATGTACGTCAAAACATTTGTCGACTGGCACTAAGCAAATGCAGAAACAATCAAAGTCTTGTTTGCTTTCTGTATTCCATGTGTGAAAAACTTGCGTAAGAAGACATGTGATGTGAATACAGGTAAAAGTTGTAATTGCATAGACGCCATTTGAGCAAGCGATACGCCTGCGCAATGCACATTATTGCGTAGGCACAGGTGCCGCGGCAGGCACGTGCATCTGGTGAGCCTGCACCTAAGCATTACCATAAACTGCGCAGGCGTATGGCTTGCTCAAATGGTGCCCATGGTAATTACACCTTTTGGGCAGAGTTATCCATCTTGTGCCTTCAGCGCTATACGATCTTTGGTTCGGACTAGTTTGTTCGGGTTGAGTTGAGCATATGCCGAGCCCTCAGATGTCCCTGCACCGGGCCCGACTGCTGTAGCAAGTATTGCTCTGTGACGTTGCCTCCAAGTGTAAAAAAACTGTGAAGTTGCAGTGACTAATGCTGTTTAGAGAGTGAACAAATGTCTGCCGAGGGAAAATGTCCGTAACACCCAGCTTTGATAGAACAGTCCCAAGACCTCTGATTTCAATATGATTTTACGTACACCCTAGGTTGTTAGGATTAAGAATTGTAGTCGTGTTATCTTGTCATTTTCAAACTGCCGGTATTTGTGGCCATAAATAATATCGTGTCTTGGACAATTTGTTGTGGGAATAATGCTGTCGAACTAACCGCTGAATTGCCCATTTTCAAAATTCAAGTCACACACCAGATTGTGCCTCAGGCTGCCGTGCTAGAAGGGTACAAATCAGAAGCTGAATACAGTCTTCTACTCCGGGAGGTCTAGGTTTCTCAAATACCTTTGAATATTCCCTCGCCTGTTGTTTACTTTTCATTTTCTAAAGAGAAATGTTTTCTTAGACTTGTTATTGTGTGCTTTTTGAGAACATCTGTGAGTTCTGCTCTGTTTCTCTTTTCAATAAAAATTCATGGTTGGTTGGTAAAGATGGGAAAATTGATGTTGAAACACAGAGCAAATAATGCTTTCAATTCATCCTGTAAAAATTGTTTTTTATCCAACACAGCCTTCACATTAGTTATTAACCCTAACCCTCCTCAATCCTCCAACAGGTGAAGGATTGAGGAGGGTTAGGGTTAAACATTACCAAGCCACGCTGTGCGCAACATAACTTAAGCCGTGGGCACAGTGAGAAATAACATGGCGATGATTGACTATTGAATGTTAGTTGTGCTCACAAAGGCAGCGAAGTAGGTCTTCACAGAACTTCGTTTCTGTAAAGGTGGTTCAATGTTCTGTTTGCAAAATGAAAAAATGAAAAATGGAAGAAAAAAAAAGCCCAAGATTGTGTTTGTCAAAGCACATGTGCGTGGGTGCTAAGTGGTAATAAGGCTCACCGGGTGGGGTTCACTGAAAAGCACAAATGAAAAGCTATTTTTATAAATATGTAGGTGTGCGTGCCGTCAAGCCGTCAATGCTCATGAATGGTTCTGAAGACTGGTATTAAAGTGGGTTAAATGTACGTGGACATATTTACGCTAAATAAGTTAATTGAACATCTTTGTCGTGATTGATTTCGTAAACCTGCGTGATTTTGCGGCGTGGAACCCTCATTTTGACGAATGGATTCCGGATAATTTGGTTTTTAGTAATAGTGACATTATTCATGGATCAATTTCATTTGGTTGAACTCAAGATGTCCCAAATACCCGTGGCTCTAGCCAATGACAAAGTGATTAGAAGCAGACAGGACTTGCACCAATTTGCCCCGTCCAGAACTTGTTGAAAACCTTGCAATCATAAAATTGAACTTTCAAAACGCTGTATTCATCGGGAAAGTTGTTGGCATCTGTGGCACCAAAGTCATCCTCTCCCTTTGAAGCATCTAAAGTAAAGGAAGTTATTCAAGTTGTTTAGCTTTATTCGTGGGAACCCCTAAATTTTTTTTCCATGAACTTTTGTTCTCAGACATTACTCATTTTCTGCCCACTTAAAAATCGGTTCCAAGAGTGTTGGTTGTTGAATGTACACAAAAAAAAGACAAAAAAAGAGTTCCTGGTTTTCATTGCCATAACTCTTAAGCCTGCGAGGCCTGAAAAAAACAATTTCTCGCTTCACAGTTGGGGTTATTTGGAGCAGACTCTTGTAGTGGCACTCTCCAAAATATTTCCCTGAGGGAACCGAGATCTCAACAAGTTTTGCACAAAGACGACCAAGGCCGTGTCGGTGTATCGACTGAATTACCGTCTTTTGACAC